AGAGATAGAGCCACCGCCGCTGTGGGTGCCGAGCCCACTTTGTGTGAGCTTACACAACATACTAAAAACTGGAGACTAGACGTTGGTGGCTCTGGAGATAATTCGCGAGCACTGTGGTTGGCCCTGAGGTCTACCTCGCCTGCAGAGAGGCGAGCTCTGCGCCAGCCGGCCCGAGTGGGTTTCCTGCAGCCCAGCTTCGGGCCGGAGCACCAAAGCTTGGCAGAGAACTCATGAATGGCATTTTTTGCTTCCCAGCTCAGGAGTGAACCCCAGCCGCGAAGAGGGGTGTGATGCTGCCAGCGAGTTGCGTCAGAGTTCTGGAAAGAACTAAAAAAAAAAAGTCATCTTTGCTCCACAGGTCATGAGCAACCCTCCCCCACACACGCACGTACACACACACACACACACACACACACACACACACACACACCCTGTCCCCGGCAAAGAGGCCAGCGCTGCTGCCAGCCAGCTGGTTTGGCACTGGCAGCCAAGGCGTGGGGCTCCGAGAGAAGTCAGAAATGTCATGTTCGCCTCTAAGGTCAGGTACTCCTGGTGGTGCTCGGGGGACCATATGGGATGCTGGGAATCGCCCTACCCGCTATGCTAGCAAATGCCCTACCCACTGTGCTATTGCTCCAGCCCCTAAAAAATTTTAACTTCACCTTGTTACTTGCTGCATTTTTCACCCCCTCCCCCCAGTATATCCCCTGAGTGTTTTTTTGGGAGGGAGCACACCCAGTGTTGCTCAAGGGTACCTTTTTTTTTCTTGAGTCATACCCGGCGATGCTCAGGGGTTACTCCTGGCTCATGCACTCAGGAATGACTCCTGGCGGTGCTCGGAGGACCATATGGGATGCTGGGAATCGAACCCAGGTGGGCCATGTTGGCTGCGTGCAAGGCAAACGCCCTACCCGCTGTGTTATCGCTCCAGCCCCTCAAGGGTACCTTTGATCTTATTCCTGGTCGTGCTAGGTATCGAACCCAGGTCTGCCGTGTGCAAGACAAGCTCCCTACCGACTCTACTATCTCTCCAGCCCTGCATTGAGGCTCTTAAGAGAACTCAGGAACGTCATCTTTGCACCCCAGTAAGGAGCGAATCCCAGCCTGAGGCTTGGCTCTCTGCTTCTCTCTGCGCCCTTTCATTTCCTCACCTCTCCATGATGTGTCATGGACACACAGGGACACCCTAACTGTAGGTTCTCAGGCACACAGCAACACACAAGAAACAACTCCAAACTGCCGAGGCCACAATGGTGAAGCAATGCAGAACCCCAACTGGCTAAGTGAGTGAAGTCGCTAGCCCAGAGATTCTGGGGACATTATGTGGTGCCAGGGTTCAAATTTGAGTTGGCTGCATGCAAAGCAAGCACCCTCCCCACTGTACTAGCACTCAGGCCCTGAAGTGGTCATGTTATTTATTTCCTTATTTTCCCCAATTTTATTTTATTTTTACAAAGTTGTTAGCAATACTTTATTACATTGAATATTCCACCACCAATTCCACCACCATTACTCCTTCCCACGACCATAATTTCCAATTTTCCCAACCAGCACCCAAGCCTGCCCCAAAAGCAGGCCCTAAATAATTTATTTTGTATTGCTTGTTATGAATAATTCACCAGTTATTTCCTTAGCAAATGGGTCTCATCCAGTAGAGTCTAGTTCCACCCCCCATCCCAACACCCCTCCTCTCCTCCCCCCCACTTCCCTGCCAGGCCATTCCTGGTGATTCTCAGCTCAGAGGTGTTGGCTTGAAGGTTTGGTGGACAAAAAGGTTTGAAGGTTTGGTGCAGGGTGAGGGAGAAATTGATGGCTAAGAGATTCCGAGCAAGATAGTACTTGGCCTCCCAGGTCCTGGAGAGACCCAGGTGGGCAGGAAAGTCCAGACTCACTGTGAGAACTGGACTCTGAAGGGTCAGAGGGGCAGAGGCAGCCCCAGGGCCTAAGCAGCTTCAGCCTTTAGGTCTCATGTTGAACTACCAGCTGGGACTTGCTGGGGTTACCCCAGCCTCCAGACCCCGCCTGGGGAGATCTCACCCTCTTCCTCCCAGGCTGAGCGCTAATGGTGAGAGGTGAGAGGCCTGGCAGCTCCCAGTGGAATGAGGCCCAGGAGGCTAGTGAGGCAGCCACAGGCCTGGGTCACATCCCCTTCCTGGTGCAGGCTTCCCACAGGCTGAAGGCAGCGTGGGGAGCATCAGGGTTAGGGCACAAGGCTGGAGGGGGAATTGATTCTGGGAGAACTGAGGGGACGCAGGACCAAGAAAGGAGGAGTAGTGAAGAGTCTTCTGCAGTGCCTCTACAGCCCGCATGGGCCTTCACCCTCATCTCAGAGCTCCCTTCATCCTCTGAGCTCAGCAGTGGCTTCTACTCACCTGGCCCCTGGTCCCTGAGACCCTAAACTCCAGTCCTAGGCTCCTTCTAACTCAAGCCCTTCCTGTTTTCCAGACCCCAGAACAACTGTGTCGATGACTCACATGCCCCCTGACTCCAACAGCTAGACCCCAGGGATCTGTGTGTCTTCAGGGGGAACTTGAGGCCAACAAGGTCAGAATCTAAACACGAATTTCTGAAAAATCAAAACCTCTGAGAATAAAAGCGGTTGAATTCGAATGATGGAATTTAATGCTGAAGGCCAGATAGCACGAGAGAAATTTGGGGACACAGAGATCCACACAGCACCCCTAGAGTCACATTTTGTGGACAGGCACCCATACTGATTGTTGAGGTTGACCGGGTCAGGTGATCACATGTGGACAGACACCCTGCAGGAGACAGCAGCCACTTTGGGTCACATTCTTGCTTATTTGTGTCTCTCCGCCCCTTGCCTCTATTCCTTCAAAGTGCAAGGAATGCTTGTAGGGGGTCTTTTCGGTTCTTCTCTTTCCACCAGGTGTACTAGGATTTAGAAATGCAAGGGTGAGTGACCCTGTCCATGCCAAGACCTTGGGCCAGGGTTTATCAGAAGACTCACCTCTGATCAAACAAATGGAAAAATAGTGGGGACACTCACGCCCCACAATGATTTGGTCTGTTCTCCGCACCTACCTCCAAAGAGAAAATAAAGAACTTCTACATAAAAATCACGTGTGATTTGAAACAACACATTTGGTTGTAGAATTGTGTCATTCTCTCAACTCTATTTGACCAGCTCTGTTTGTATCTGTATTCTATCATAAATTAGCAATTATCTTACTGGGAATGGTTATTTTACTCTTACTGTCTCTGAGGTATAGACAGGATTTCTGTCTCCAAAAAGTGGGAGACTATTTTCTCCCTTATAAGTCTTGTCCTATGATGTCTCTCCGATGGTACTGAAGTACTGATTATTTGTTCCACAATGACCATAACAGAATCAGTGTTAGTTAAAAACTTGGGATGTTACTAGGAAAATTTAGGTTTCGGTTTCTTTGGCAAAGTTTGTCAGTACTGGAATAGCAACTGACTTAGGGAAATAATTGACTAAAGCCTCTCCAACAACTGAATGGAAAGCTGACAGTGCTGGTGTGCCCGCAGTCCTTAGAAATCCTGATGCTGGTTTCTGACACTCCATGTTGTTCACCACCTTCATTCCTATTTGCTTCAAACACTTACATTTCTTGCATACCTAGTTCCAGAGGAAGGGTCTCTACCGCACCTGGAGGAAAATGTTAGTTTGCGAAGATGGGGAAGGGGCTCTGGGAGCAGTGAGGATTTAACAACTATGGCACTGATCAGAATTCAGGACTTCTCAGTGTCTGGTTTGTGAAAGTCCTATGGATCCTGGCGAGCTTGGATTCAGAGGAATGGGCTGCCCCGGGCCGTGAAGATTCCTCATCAGAACAGAGCACACAAACCAGGCTGGCCTGTCCACTAGACTCTTCCTTTATTTTTCTGAGTTGCTAACCCCCTCTTCCTGGGTTTTTAACGGCTCTGTTTTGTTTTGGGGGCTCACACCCAGCGATGCTCAGGGATAACTCTTAGCTCTCTCAGGGAGTCACTCCTGGTGGGCTTGGGGAACCACAGAGGGTGCCAGGGATCAAACTCAGGTCAGCTGCATGAAAGGCAAGTGCCTTAGTGCCTTACCCATTGTACTATTTCTTTAGCGCCCGCTCCCATGGCCTTTTCTTTAAAGAATGAAATGAGGAGGGTGGGTTAGGGTTCTGGAAATATTAATTGGTGTATGGGAGGTTAACTATAGGTAATTTAAATGAGAAAACTAAAGAATGTTACTTTGGGAAAGAATATGAATGTTGATTCCGACAAATTAATGTGAAGTAATCATGAACTCCTCTTATGATGAAATTTGCTTTATAAAACTTTTGTAACACCTTTCCTGATTATCTGATGATTAAATTCATTCTCTTAGGTTCTTGTTTATTCATATACCCATTCACCGGCTTCTAGGAACCCAATATAGTCACAGAGGGGTGCACAATGATGGAACAGAAATAGAGGTAAGTTCTTCCAATTTCTGATAGTGACTTGGAGATGAGCTAAGGAACTGGGGTGCAAAAGCATTAGGGATAAGTAGATGGGCAGAAATTCATTCTACTTCTATTCTGCAAATGCAGGGAAATCTTAGGTTTATCACTTAACCTCTCTGAATTTAGGATGGTGGAACTAAATGCCTGTAAAGTCTTAATGGCTAAATTGAAGAAAAGAGTCCTACACATCTTGGATCTAAATTGTAGATTTTTGTAAATATGAGGATACAGTTCCTTAACTTTGATTTTTTCTTTGTGTATCTAATATGTAGAAATAAGAGTGAGGATGGTGTGTGTGTGTGTGTGTGTGTGTGTGTGTGTGTGCGCGCGCGCACGCGTGCACTCTAATGTGGTTTATTTCCTCTAAGACTGCTTATGTAGATAATTACATTATAATTCCTCGACTATTGGAGGAGAAAGATGTCATTGATGATGAATTCAGACAGTTTCACCATTTCTGACTTTAGGATTTACTCTGGACCTTAAGTTATGAACCAAGGTGTTTTTTTTATATAGATAAGAGACTTGCAAAGAAAGTTATGCAGTTGGGGTAAAGACTTTATTTCATCTATGTACAAGTAAGCATTTACTGACTCTTGTCAAAAACAATGAACAAGAACACAAAGACTCTTTGAGCATGAAAACAAGATAGCTGTGATAGATCAGTAGTACTGAGCTTCAGACTCTCAAAAGAACCCAGACTTTGAAGCTTTCAGGCTGTGGTTACTAATCCAGAAAATTAAGCCAACGGCACAATGCAAGCAACACAATGACAGTACAACGCATGACAATGCCATTTTCACTGGGTGCCTAGAGGGAGGGTTGCTGGGACCTGGGGGGTACCGGCGGGCCAAGAAATTAAAACTTCATAATATCTTTTATATAATTGTGAAAGCTTTCCTCCTTGTCGGGACCCTCTCTGGAGTAACTTTCATCTTCTTCCTCGGCGTCAGCTAAGGCTTCATGAAGCCTCCATATCTCTTGTCAATCTTTGGGTACCACTCTTTGTCGGGTGGAAAGTCAGCGAAGCGCTTCAGGAAGCCCCCATACCTCTTGTAAGGGGTCCACCACTCAGGGCGGCCCACCCTTCTCATGAAGCCCCCGTAGCGCTTCTGTAGCTCTCTGGCCTCGTCTTCCATCTCGGGCGTTCTCTTGGTGCCCCGCATGAAGCCACCATACCTCTTGCTTGGTTCATCTTCTCTGCTGTATTGGTGGATGTTGACCTCTCGGGGGGCCTCCGTTCCCACCAGCTCTTTCAGAACATCCTCTTCCTCTTCATCCTTCTTCATGAAGCCGCCATACCTCTTGTGTGGTTCATCTTCTCTGCTGTACTGGTGGATGTTGACCTCTCGGGGGGGCTCCATTCCCACCAGCTCTTTCAGGCCATCCTCTTCCTCTGCATCCTTCTTCATGAAGCCGCCGTATCTCTTGGCTTCCTCTGGCTCAGTCTCATAGAGCTCATCCATCTTCTTCATGAAGCCACCGTACCTTTTCATGAAGCCGCCGTACCTTTTCATGAGTGCCTTCCAATCTTCATCATCCCATTTGATGGCTTCCCTGCTGCTTTCTCCAGGAAGGTCCAACTTGGATGGGTGAAGAAGCTCCTTGCAAATTCCCCAGGTATTGAGAGAAGACAGTTTCCCTTCACATTCTAGAGTACAAGTCTGAAAAAAAAAAAAACAAAACGATTTGGTTCAATTAACTGTTTTTTTTTTTAAAAAGAAAGATTTTCTAAAGTTAAGTAAACAAATTTTACTGGGCCGACCACAATATTCTTGCTTAAGGAGAATTCCACATATATTACATCACCTACAATTTCTTATTATAACTTTGGATCATACTGAGCCGGCAAGTGAAAGGAACACTGAAAAGAGGAAGAATTAATCACGTTAGAAATTTTCTTTGAATTTTAACCAATTGTGTATACTACAACATTTCAATATTATGAAAGATTTTCCACTCAATTTTAACCTTGATGGCCACACAACATAATTTTACTGGATGCTACTGTATTGCTGATTTCATTAAAAAAATTTCTAGCCAACAGGGAGAAATTTCTCTTTTCCTATTCTTAGAAATTACTTATAAAATTTATTTTATCTTCTTATCCTACAGATCAGACTAATATTAACACAAGGTTAAACAACCTTGCATTAGAATTTTACTTGAACTAGCACCTACTGTTCCTGAAAAAATATCTTGAATATTTACAGAAAATATGTTTCAAAAGAAAAACGAAAAGATAGTCTAAACATGCAATTTAAATCCTAAGACTTATTTGGATTAAAATATGACTGTTTTCTGAAAGTAGAGGCAGTCTGCTTTTCTACCTTAATTTACTAAAACAGATATAATTACCTTGAACTAAATGTTTGTATTGTGAGGTGTTATATAAAAATATACATATACAAATATTCAAATTATTTCTTTTCTTTTCTTAACATTGTACACTGGAGGTAAAAAATATTTTCAAGCAGAAATCAAGTTATTTAACAAGCAAAAATATTAATTATATAACCATTTTCAATATTCTATAATGATTATATTCTAATTATGTAAGCATTAGGCCTGTGTCCTAATAATCATGTTCAGATTATCTTCTATTTAGCAAATTACTTCCATATAACACATAGATGACTGATATTGTGGAGCATTTGCAAAATTCATTTGATTTTTGAAAGCATATCACAAATATTTGTAGCCCTCTACAGTCTACACATTAAATCCAAATTACCAATCTATTATTTAGACAGAAAAGCAAGGTTCTTTCTTGGTAACTAAAATATGTTGGTATATTAGTGGATTTGAAATATGCACATATTATTTTCACAATGATACAATATTTTTATTAATGCCACAAAATTGTTTAATGAGCACTTTAGTCTTAAGTAGGTCTTAATTATTTAACTCTTATTAGTTAAGTTGTATAATTTGATATAGTCTAACTTCAAATCTAAAGGTGACCCAATTTAAATGCATCTTTATTCTTGATATAAGAAATGAAAACATTATAAAAAACTTATGATGTTCAAGTGTTAATATTTTCATTCTAAAATACAACTTAATCTGTCAAACATTAATGTTGACTATTTTGCATATTATTGCTCAAAGATTTTCTAGTGCACATGATCTGGGATATGCACAAAACCGAAAAAGGACAAATAATCAGAAGTAAAACATATACTAGAGAAGTGGCATTATATTCCACTCTTGCAGCCCACGCATCGTTTGCAGAATTTATTACACTCAGTATTCCGTGGTCAAGATGAGATAAGATGGTAAATTAAATTTGAACATCAGTCATGGCCTGTCAGCTTTTATTTGCAGCCTCCTCAGAACCAAGGGCAAGTGTCTTTAACAGGGTAAACATGGAGTAAATATTTGTCATGGTTCTTTCGAAAAATAAGTTTGGTCGGGTAAGCTCATTTTCTTCTCTGACTATTGTGTCCAAGCTAAAATTGCATAACGGCTGTGTGTCTAGCACAAGGCAGTTAGGAGAAGCTTTAGTCACAAGGTAAATAACATCTCTAAACGTAAGTACCAAGGCAAAGGAGTTAAGTTTTAAACAGAAACTCAAAAAATCAGAAAGATAGAAGAAGGATGAAGGGAAGTGCTATCCTAGATCGTGCGTTCTCTTTAAGGTCACATCACCACCTGCAGGAATCAAATAAAGTGGACAGGGTAGTTTAAGTGACACAGCAAACCTGACATACACGCGATGGAATTCTGGAATTCCTTTTCTTAATTTTTGATCTCCTCTCCTTAGTTTTCTGTCCTATTTTATGTATCTATGAGGCATGTCTTCAGGGGCTCGGGAGCACCCTGAACCAGTCATTTAAATCCTTCAACTAATGCATTATTCTCAACTGAGAGTTTTGGCTCATCACCGAATTTCAAGAAACTGAAGACAAGGGCGATGGAATCACTGGGCAGACGAATTAAAACAGAGATTTCTGCCTCCCCTGTAAGGTCCAGAGATTAGGCCCCCATGGAGCCTCTGGGGTGGATGACGAATCATGGTTACAGGGTGTTCCTCTCCTAGGGCGTCTCACGCCCCATCCGAGCCCTGAGCCTCCTTCTGCTCATCTTGGCATTGATGCTTCATTTTTGGGCAACCCCCCCTGTGTCCTCTTCCTAGCAAAACCAACCCCTTTCCTTGCAAAATCAACCCCTGGGCAGGAGCGCGGTGGCCGCAGGGTTGAGCCGGGCAGCACCTGGCCCAGGTGAGCGCTGTTCGCGGTGCTGAAGCCGCGCCTCTTGGCAAGTGCCAGCTGTCTCAGCGCTCAGGGCTGACCTTCCACCAGGGTCCCCGAGATCTCGAGTGACGGGGTCGGCCCTGGCGGCTACGGGCCGGGTGGCACTCACCTCGGCGCTGAGGTCCGCGGGGCGCGCTAGCAGGACGCAGGCGGCGCAGTCCTGGACGCAGTCGGCTGTCACGGTGGCCAGCAGCCCGGGGCCCAAGGCCACCAGCCAGGTGCAGAGTGTCAGGAAACGCGCCATCCTGCGGGGACAGGGACCAAGTTGGAACCGGTGCCGGGGAGGCTGGCGGTGGTGAGGGGGGGAATCCCCGGCAGGACCCTCCCACCCTCTCCTGGAGAGACCCGGGGGTCCCCCGCGAGGGCGCACGCTGCAGAGACGCGGGGAGCCGGGCGGCGTGCGGAGAAAGTTGGGGGCGCCCCCCGGAGCAGAGGGGCAGCCGGGCACACTCACCCGAGCGCAGGAGGCAGGTGAGCGGGATCCGTCGTGTCCGCGCCGCGCGCTGGTTCCCTGCTGCCCACGGGGCGGCCACTTTATAATTCGCCCCAAACCCGGGGCCGCGAGCGCGCCCCAATCGCCGGGCGCCTGCCGCTGACGCACGCCCTACGCCAGCCCCGCCGACGCCTGGCGGGCGGGTCCCCCGGGATCGGGGCGGGGGGTGGCTGGGGGGTTGCGCCCCGCAGCGGGGAGACGAGCCTCGGCAGCTAGAGGGGGGAGCACCCCGTCCCCCTAAGGCGCGGGAACCGTGTTCCCGGGAGGGGCGCGCGGTCAGGGCAGTGCACGGCGCCAGGGACCCCGGGCTTGCACGTCCCAGCGGCGCCCCTCTGCTCCCGGGGACCCCTGCCTGTCCCTACGGACGGAATGTAGTCATCTCTGCGTCGTGCGCTGGCCCCGCGCTGCACCCCAACTTCTTCACTGCAGCGCGCGAGCCAGAGCGTTGGAGCGGACGGTTAGGGGATGATGAATCATGAAAACTTTCCCGAGTCTTAAACTCTGCAGCTCGGAACTTCAGAGAGGAGCTTTCGCCTCTCCCCTTAGGGACTCCCGAGGGACCCCCCGCCCGTGTTCTATCCAAGGCTGCGCGACTTCCCGTTGCTGCGGGAGCCCCCCTCCCCCAATTCCCCCTCCCCACGCGGTCCCCCTGTGTGCGCGTCTGTGGCCCTGTGTCTGGGTGGGCATGCCTGTGTGTGTGTGTGTGTGTGTGTGTGTGTGTGTGTGTGTGTGTCTGAGCCTGTGTGTTCGCCCGTGTGTGCGTGCAGGTGCGTGCCAGGGCTCGGCCCCTAGAGCGCCCACCAGGGGGTCCTGTTTGAAGGGAAGACTTGGCCGGGGTGGGCCAGCTGTCGAAGCCCCCAGGGGGAGCGAGGCATAACCCAGTGCCTGGATGCTCCAAACTCGGGAGCTAGGAACCGAGGGGTCCAAGGAGGATGGTGAACCTGGAGCCTGCTGGGCCTTCGCTGTGCCAAGAGGGAAACTGTTAACCTCAGCCCCCCACTCGGAAGGAGGATGCAGGTCACACGCCAGTCAGCGTTCCTAGGGGATCACAAGCAAAAGGACGTGCTAGGAGTTTTAGCCTTGTGCAACCCCACCCTCTGTCAGCCTCTCTAGCCCTGTTAGGTTCATCCTCTGCCTGTGAGGAGCCTAAGCGCACCCATCTCTCTATGCGTTTATAGGTCTGATCGGCCTGGAAGGGAAACCCCCTCATCGCTCTCTGGAAGAATCTCTGAGCTTTCTCCCATCAGCATCCCCGGCTCCTGGTCCCTGTCTTCCAACCGGGCGCGGGCCTCGCTGCACCTCCCGTTGGCGTCGCTAGAGGGCAGCGCTCCCCTGTGCAGGTCTGGGCGGGGGGAAGGGGGTCTGGTTCTGCAGCCCTGGGAAAGCCCAGCACTGAGGCGCGGACTCAGAACCCCGAGGTAGCCCCGAAGAGCAGCGCCCAGATCTCCCCAGAAGTGTGGGCGTTTGCCCTGCGAGCATAGATTTTCATCACATCCTCTCCTCATGTGAGATTTGGGGGTCCCGAACGTCAGACAACAGGACTTGGTGGGACCCAAGACCCAGAAGCATCCTTCCAAAGCCCTGATGGTGACTGGCTTTTTATTCACTCCTTAGGTGTCTGTGTAAAGGGATTTTAAAAGGCCTTCCAGTGTTGCCTCGGTTCAAGCCGAAGAGGCCTTTCGTTGTTCCTCTCCTTCCTTCTTGGGGCTCCCCAGGACACACTTTGTCATGAAACCTCACTTCTCCCTGCCCCACTGCAGTTCTGTTTTCTGAACATCATGTCCCACATAACAGTACCACATTTTAGCATCTTCCAGGCTTGCACGTATGCCAGAGAAAGGGCAAACTTCCTCGCAGTTGCTTGCAGTTGCTCTGCAAGATGGAATTTTGTGAGTTGATGATCACTTTCCTACTAAGAAATTCTCCTTCAGATTAATTTACACAGGGCAGCTGAGAGATTGCCCGCGAAGTTGGAAGGAAATGTTTTTAGGTGGGACAAATCTTCGTGTTAGGTAGAGTGCCGGTGCATTCTAAACTTTGAAAAATCCAAGAAGCAAAATAAACTGCTTAAGGGGAAAGATGAGCCTGTAGAAAGTTGCCTCCGGAAGGGATGTGGCTGAGCCGGAGATTCTGAAAAACAGAATTTTTTTTGCCATGTCTTGTGTGGGTTCCTGCACTTCATCTGTGGGGTGACTTGGTAAACATTTTCCTCTAACCCTCCCTGCCCTCCTTTGTGGCCCCTGAGTACCACCATAATATAAAATGGCCTAAAATAGAGTCTAAATAATGGAAAATATTTCAATGTGTCAGAAAGAGAGAGAGAGAGAGAGAGAGAGAGAGAGAGAGAGAGAGAGAGAGAGAAAGAGAGAGAGAGAGAGAGAGAAAGAGAAAGCTGAGGAGAGGAGAGGAGAGGCATGAATGATCACCCAAAAATGAGTGAAGAAAAAAATAAACTAAGGGTGCTAAACTTACTGTTTATACTGTAAACTCAAATATAATTCAGATAAGGCACTCTCAGACTGAAAAAGAGCTAAATTTTATTAAGGTAGTTAGATCATAAATAAAACAAATTACATTATGACTTATTCAATTAAAAGGTAATATAGCTGCAGATCCACCTAATAGATGAATTCTTGAGCAACTTGCCTTTTACAAATGACTTTTGGAATTGTCTTGAAACAATATAATAGCTACATCAGAGAACCAGTCATATTAAAAATTGCATTACCTCTTTGAACCTTAACTTATTTAATAATTTGATATTGATTTGTTTTTGGTTGTTTCCAAAATCAAATTCCAGGTTGTACCTACAGAACCTGCAGAGAGAAATTTAAAAATATTAATTAAATGAATGGATGAAAACGTCTTCCGAGGAAATAATTTCCACAATTGAGGCAATGCTAATAGAAAGTTCTAAATGGATTTTTAGCAAGCGTGAATCACTAGAGTAAAGGTAATAGCTCCAGGTTACCAGCTTCTTGAGGAAAGGTGTGATCCACAGTTCAGAGCTTTAAACATGCATATATTCACAAAGTTGTTCTATAAAACTCTACCTACTAGTAGTTCTGACTTTTTTAGCTCCCATATTAATGGAATGGATTCAAGAAATCAAAATGTTGTCATAATAAAAATTCTAAAACTTATAGCTATGAGTTTCATACTCTCAATAGTTTAGATCACTTTGTGAATTATATTAAAGTGTATATGTTACAGTCTAGAAAACCTACTTGTTTGCATGAATCTTGTGAAAATATTTCCAGAGAAAGTGAATGTAAGAGGCACACAAAAAAAAATAGAACAATAAGGTTGAAATACATAGTCCCTTTCCACTATGAAACTCTTTTTTTTAAAATTTTATTTTATTGATCACTTGAATACTTGACATACGGTTACTCATCGATTTACTTGAGCGGGCACCAGTAATGTCTCCATTCATCCCTGTCATGTGCTAGTGCAGTCCAATGGCGTCTGCTTGTTCTAGGAAAACAAAGAGCCTCAAATGAAGAACCTTAAAAATAAATATAATTTTATTATTATTTTTTAATTTTATTGAATCACCGTGAGATAGTTACACTCTGAAACTCTCACATGATAATTGGGCAAAAGAGCAAAGCCAAGGCAATATTTAGTAGACACGCTATAAATTAACAAATGCAAGATGTTATTGAAAAAAGCAATTATTTTGCTCTTAAGAAATAAGAATCTGGGGGCTAGAGTAATAGCACAGCGGATAGGATGTTTGCCTTGCATGCAGCCGACCTGGGTTCGATTCCCAGCATCCCATATGATCCCTCAAGCTCCGCCAGGAGTAATTCCTGAGTGCATGAACCAGGAGTAACCCCTGTGCAATGCTGGGTGTGACCCAAAATGCAATATATATATATATATGAATCTGGGTTGATTAGAGGTAATCCAGGGGTTAAGGTATTTGCTTTGCATTTCTTCAACCCCTGTTTGATTCCTGGGTATCACATATGGTCCCCTGAGAACTGCCAGGGGTGACTTTTGAGCACAAGCCAGAAACTGTATCCTGGAGCACTGCTGGGCATGGTTCCCGTCCTCCTCCTCCTCCTCCAAAAAAAAAAAAAAAGAAATTAGGATCAGAAAATTCTAATTTTTATTTTTGCTTCATTATCAGTTGAGCATATGTAAACTTGAGGAATATTATTTTCTAAACCTCATTCTTATCTTTACAATGAGCATAATAAAACCAATCATATAAATTTGTTGCTTTGATTTCATGAATAAACTAATACACATATGACATAGGTACTCAATTTATGCTAATGTTTCTTTTTATTATGCTGTATTGAACTTGAGTTTCTAGGGCAAACTTTCTTTTTTCTTTAGTTCTTATATTGCTATGTTCTTGGCTTTTTGTTTCTTTTTTGGTTTGTTTCCTGGGTGACACCAGACTGTGCCCAAAGTTTATTCCTGGCTCTGCACTCAGGAGTCACTCCTGGTGATGCTCAAGGGACGAATGCAGTGCCAGGGATTGAACCCTGGTTGACTGCATGCAAAGACAATGTCTTATCTCTTATCTCTGGCTTCTTTTTTGGAGCTCAGATTTGCTCGATTTAGATGGAGTGTTCAAATAAATGGAAGCAAATTATTTGTATAGTGGTTAAAGGAAACAGGCTATTTTTTGACCTGAAGTCAATGTTCCAAAGAGCGATTAATTTGAGCTGCAGGTAACGAGCTATTTCAGGACACTGTAATATGTTATTGTTAGCAAAGGGCACTTGTAGTTGGTGCATACAATCTCATCGATTTATTATTTCTTTGGGCCATATTATGTAACATAACACTTCAAACATTGCTGTGAAGTCTAACAAATTAGGTGAGGTAAGACCTAAGGGTGGTGTTTGGAGTAGGGCACCTGGAATAGTGGAGAAAGAAGACAGGCTCCCAGGATTAGACCCGCAGAGAGAAAGGAGCCTGTTAAGGAAGACAAACGCCAGGCTGCAAGGCAATTTGTGTGAGGAGTTGTCCTGGAGGGCAATGTTTGTGGCAGGGATGGGGTGTAGGGAAGTGGGTACAGAAAGTCAAAGTTAGTTTGAACACACTGTGAGTGGGGAGTGCATTCACCCACAGGTCACCCACAGGGAAGTGTGGAGGA